ATTTTAAATCTGTTTAAACAGTATTTACCCTGTGGTTAGACACGCTATTAACAAGTGAAAGAAAAGCAGTGTCCGTTGACTCAGTGTTTCTGTAAGGCAAATATTAGTTCAGAATTTTAAAATTACTTCCCTCAAACTCCTAAGCTCGTGCCGAGTAGACTCCTGCTCATTAAAATTCCAGAGCATATTTAATTGCTTATCCACTCTGTGTAAGTACCTCTCACTGTGATGTCCAAGCACTGTGCGAATACTTGGTCCAACATGCTTCTGAGAACCACGAGTTTCATGTGGAGTGTTTCTTTCACCTTTGTTGATGCAACACAGTGTTGCGTACTCTGCTGGCCTCATGAAGCAGGGGCAAGATGTTAACCTTCCAAGATTGATTTCTTTGTAGAACTGAGTACTTTGTTTAATTTTCTTTATGTAAGTTCCCAGAAAAGAGGTTCCAACTTGAGTTTCAAGGTTCCAAAAGCCTAAAACAGTGCAAAAAATAAGAGATCTTATTTTTCTGTTTCAGATATAAATTATTAAAGATTATTAGTTGATTTTCAGTAAAAAATCATACTTCCTCTGACATATTTAGGCTTAATTTAAGATCAGATTTTAAAAAAATTAGTTCAGAATTGTCAAGAAGTCCCTGAACACATGGATATTTTTGTTGAGCTTCACAGTACTTGATGAGTCTTCTAATCAGAATTAAACTGAATTTCCACTAATATAACTGAAAAACATTCCTTGCATTAAAAAGTCTTGAACTGAAACCTCATCTCTCACATAAGTAGTCTGTTTGTTGGAAATACATCATCTATTTGATGTAGTTGAGGATTTGTTATGCTGGCACTAGTTTTAGGATTAGAGACCCGTGATTGCTGGGTTAATTTTTTATTTATGTTCCTAGTTAGAATTGCATGTATAAATAGGTATTTTCATGAACTTTTAATGGATTTTTCTTTTCAAGTAGTAAGTATTTATCCACATGACAATCAAATGCAGTTAATTTTGTCTTATATCTGAAACAGCTGTAGAAAGAGAACCAAAATCAGATAAATAGTTCAGTGCTCGACAGATTATGCGAGTATCAGGACACCTGTCTATAACAGAGTTGTAGTGCATGTGCTCAGAGTGCATTTTGTTAGGATCAGACACATTTCTGGATCCAAGTTTTACCTCAAATATAAGTCGATTACCATTTTAAACCCTCATATTTTTGAAGTTTCCCATTCTGCTCATCATATCCTGTAGTCCTGTGTGAATGTGTATAAGAGATACAGTGTCTGTAAGGCCAGGGATGATTACTTCCAGTACATCAAAGGAAAATATATTCCTACTTACTTTGCTGTGCTGACTATTTGCCTTCTTGTTTGCTGTTACATTTGACTAATACTTAGGCCAGCTCTTAACCACAATCTGGGCCTATAAATTCTAGATCAGGCTGCAGACAAGGGTGAGATTGGGTCATGCCTCAGAATAACACAAGCACTTGCAGACTAGCAAAAGCAGCATTTTACCGAGGGGGAGACATCAATGCAGGATGAAAGAACAACCCTGGAATTCAGGCAGTTTTTTACTCCAGAGGTATGAATGTCATGAGGTTCTTCTTGTCATATGTACAAAGGAAACTGTTGTCCAGAATAACAGGAGTTAAAAGAGTAAAGGTCAGAGAGAATTTCTTCTTAATATTACTGAGAGATTCATTTATTTTAATAAATGAACATATTCTATTTACTGGAACAACCTAAAGATTTATCTATAAAGTGGAACAAGAAGGCAGGAAAATCTAGAAAAAAATAAAGACCCTTATTAAATAAAACTATGTATTATAGGACAATTTTAAAATTGTCAGGTTTTGCACACAAATTATTCAGTCTCACATAAATGAGCATAAAGTCTTCATTTTCAGATATATATGGTCATTGCAAGCTATCTGTGCAATATGGTTTATATGCATGCCTCTGAGTGCACTGTACAGCTGCAAGCACTTGGAGGCATGTTATCATATGCATGTCTGTTGACTTAAATTTTTAAATTCTTGGATTTTTTTTTTATGGCTTGGCAGATGATTAAAAAAGGAGCATTGTGCTTACCCTATTCAAAAGCATTTGAAAGAATTTTGCAGATAGAAAAACAGCCATTGCCCACAAATGGTAAACCTCTTTCAGGACATAAGCAAGTTAGAAATCAAATATCTGTCTTGATGTCTGTCTAGAGCCTCAAGCTTTTTTGCACAGATCTCTGCACTACTTATGAGTAGTGCATAACCTTCTATGTATCACAGTTATTCTTATAAGCACACTTGCATACATGAGTAGTAAATGCATTTTGTAGTAAATGAGGCATTTTATTAATTTGTTGGTCTAGATAGCAGTGGATAACTCATGTTTAGCTCTACATAGAAAGGACTAGTAATAATTTATAAGACTGCTATAGATTATTTATAAATATACTCACGTTATAAAATATTAACAGTTTTCCAAGAAGTGGGAAAATAATGTCAGCCTTGTGCAAAACAGATTTTTAAAAATCTCTTTTCACACTACACAGTCATTATGCAGAGTATTTTCTTGCTTCCAATTCCAAATTCATTTATTTCTTCCAGTTGATTGTTTTAACTTACAAATTCATGCAGCACTGCTGTGTCAAGAAAAAAATAGGATTATTTTTCTGAATAATAACATTAGTGTTTAGATATTGCCAGTGGTGCACATCAGAATGAATGTTCTGATATGTAGATACCTGCATGGAATCACAATTGCCAGAAAGCATCTCAATGACTCTGTTGCTGGTCATAAAAGCAATAACACACTAATGAGCCTTTAGGTTGATTGTATAAATCTTTTGCATGATATTGCAGTTTAATTTACAATATTACTCCAACCATATACATAATAACTGACTCTGTGAAACACCAATTTACTCTGCAAAAATCTATACTTGCAATTCACTAAATAAAAGTTATTGTTTTAGAAATTAAAATAGGAATGAGCCTCCAAGAACCGATCTTAACTCCCAGATCTTCTTTACTATTTCTTCTTCTTGGATGAATCAGTGTATGAAATGGAAATAAAAATGCTGTTCTCTCTGTTTTCTATTTGTTAGGTCGTGAGAGACTGCCTTTCTTTTTGTATTTACAGCAGGCAGAATAGGAATTCAAAGTATGACAAGGAGATCTTATTAAATGAGAAATAGTAATATGCAACTTTGTGAGAGGTGCTTTGCATCTGCTCTTAAATACGGGTTAGATTTTTCCTTTGAAAGTTTGAGAAAAATATTCTTGCTGGCTCTTGAACTATTTTCAATAACATAAAATAAAAAAAATGTGACTATACTTGAGTAGACAGACCTTTGATTTTCATCGATTTTTTCTGTCTTGAAACGAATGTAGTTAATCCAGTGATAAACCTTGTAGTGTTTATACAATATTCAGCATTCTCAAGTCTGAATGTACATACTGCTAGGCAACAAAGTTCTTTCTCCTTCCAAAAGAAAGGCAAATGATTTGCTACAACCGAAATTCATGCAAAAAATGCCACAAAAAAGAAAAGCAAACTGAGCACATTCAATAGCAATCCTCCATGTAACCACAATTTTATAGATATTTAAAAAATTATGAGTTTTTCTCTACAGAGCTGAATGGTATCTTGTTTACTCTTTCTCTGAAACAGAAAAGCATCTAGATCTTTGAAAATGATTTGCCTTTTTATTTGTTTGGAAAACAGCACCTGTGGTCAATGCTTTGCTATTAGCTATAATGCATTGTCCGTTCCTAAGGAAAATAATCTGGAATTTTAGAATAAACAGTGTTTCACTGGAGAATATTACTGCTGTGATCTTTCATGCTGGATGCTGGAACTATGGAATCACAGAATCACAGACTAGTTGAGATTGGAAGGGACCTCTGGATCATCAGATCCAACCTCCTGCTTAAGAAGAGGCACTTAAAGCAGGTTGTCTTGCACCATATAGTTACATACTTGCCTACCTACCTATTGGCAGGTTGAAGGACTCTATTTTTCAAGTAAATATCAAAATACAGTGGAGAATGCATATAGTTATACTCAGGAAAAGTTAGTCTAAAAGAAAAGATAGTCTTTGTATTCACAAGAAAAGCTAGTAAAAAATTCAGCTAATTCTACTGCCTGAGTCCTTTGAGATGTCCCTGTTTTGTCAGGAAGTGGCAAATATAAGAGTTTGTTAGTCACCTAAACATCAGCCTGGTGTCAAATTGTCTTTCTCTAAATCCTGAAGACTTTCATGGCAAATTCTCTCTTGCAACTTTTTCAGAAGAAGCTCACCTAATTATAATACAAGCTTTGAAAATAAGTACGTTTCTCCTCTAGTTAAGCACTAGCTCAACTCTAAGTAGCACTGTCCAGCATGTGATCTGCAGCTCAGAGAACGTGCTTCACAAGTAGGAGAGATTTCAAAGACTGTATGACCAGCTAGGATTAGAAAACAAGCATTCCACTGGCTTGCAACAAGTGTTTTCAGCTTGTCTAAGTGAGGGTTACATGGCTATCCAGCTGCAACCTTCAAATGCATCCAGGAAGGAAATACCATGGTGGAGGTGTTTTCAAAACTACTACAGAACCAATGATTGGAAACCAATATCATGCAAAATCTAGATTACAAGTGAGCTGCTGTGTTATGATTCAAGCATATTAGGAAGAATTGTGGTAACTTCTCTGTGCTTTCAAACCAAGATTTGATTCTGTAAAATATGTGTGGTCTATTTCAACCATGAATATGGCATTTGAAAGATAATTCTATGCAATGGAACAGACCAGATGAGTACAGTAATCCCTACTGACCTTAAAAGCTATGATTTTCTGAATGGCATTTTCTCAAATGTGACACTATACAATCACTATCCAGTAATTTCAGCTTGATTTTTTTTTCTTGTCTTCCGTTGTTTTGTTTGCTTTGCTGGCTTTGCTTTTTTGTTTTGTTTTGTTTTGTTTTGTTGTTTTTGTTTGTTTCTTTCTTTCTTTCTCTTACTCCAGGAATTGGTCAAGGAGTTCCAGTGGTGGCCCTCATTGTGGAAGGAGGTCCCAATGTTATCTCTATCGTTCTGGAGTACCTGCGAGACACTCCTCCTGTTCCTGTTGTGATATGTGATGGCAGTGGTCGGGCATCTGACATACTTGCCTTTGGTCACAAATACTCTGAAGAAGGAGGGTAAGTTATTCGCTAGTTCAGATAGCTATGTGCCATGAGATATACCATGTGGACAAGTGCAACATATTGTCTTGAAGTTGCAGGTCAAAAGATTTACAGAAAGTGCATATTTTCATTTTATTCAAAATTCTGTAAGAGTGTACTACAGTCCTCACATTTCATTCAGTCCTACATAAATCAGCATGTAAATACCAAATGTTCATATAATCTAGTTTGTGTTTGCGCTGCCCTTTGGGCATAATTCTACACATCTGCCTGTACTCACACAACTGCATTCACACTGTCCCACTTTTCATTGCAGACTCAAAGTGCAGCAAGGATAGTATTTAACACTTATTATAGACAATTTGAGTGTGTTTTTGCTGAATGAAGCTTAAAATATGTTTCATACTTTCTAACGTGCATGTTATGCCTGAACTTTGTTTTGTTTTGTTTTGTTTTATTTTGTTTGTCGTTCTGTGTTTTTTTTTTCTCCCCTGCCCCATAAATACATCTGCAGTCACAGTGGTTGAGGCTGAAAGTGACCTCTAGAAGTCATCTGGTCCAATCCCCTGATCATGCAGTTGTCCATGACCATGTCCAAACAGCTCTGGAACATCTCTGAAGATGAAGGTTCCACTATTCTCTGGGTAACATGGGTAAACATGTGTCAGTACTCCATCACCCTCAAAATATTTCCAGATATTCAGTGGAAGCCTTCTATGTTTCAGTTTGTTCCCACTGCATCTTGTACAGTCATAGAGTGCCACTGAAAAAAGTCTGGTTTATCTTCTCTGCACCTTCTCTTTGTAGTCCAGATCACCTTGAGCCTTCACTTCTCTAGGCTTAACAGTCCCAACTCTCAAAGCTTATGCTCAGAGTAGAGCTGCTCCAGTCCCCTCATCAGTTTCTTGTCTCTTCACTGGACACTGAAGTATGCCTGTGTCTCTCTTGTTCTAGACATCTGTGATCTAGACCCACCACTCCAGGATTAGTCTCACTAGTTCCGAGTAGTAGGAACCCTTTTACTTTGACCTGCTGGCAGGAGTCCTCCTAATGCAGCCCAGAACAATGTTCATGTTTGCAAAGACACATTTCTGGCTCATGGTCAGTTTGGTGACCATCAGGACCCCCAGAACCTTTTCTGCTAGGCTCCTTTTCAGCTGGGAGGCCTCCAGCATGTACAGGTACCTGGGGCTGTTTCTCCCGAGCTGCAGTACTTTGAACTTCTTGCTGTATGAAAACTTCTGCCCTGGCAGGGGCAGCTGCTTTCAGGACCTGATGGGGAAACCAAGTTCGTCTTTACCATACTGGAGACTGTTTGTTCTGGCACAGATTCACCTGGGCAGTCTTCTTTACAACCTACTGGACACAGTGCTTTGTCTACTGGCAGTACTCTGGAAGCTATGTTCTTGCCCTAGGCCCCATTTAGACCCCTCCTAGGCACTGGCCAAACAGGTGCTTGACACTCCACATACAGTAGCAGGGGGTAGCTGAAACAAAATTTTCAGTCACCGTGGGTCAGCAGTAGCCCATTTTAGTGGTTATAATCTACAACTTTCTTAGCCCCACACCCTTGTGGACTCCCTTAATGCATCTTTACTTGGAGCAACAGATATCCTCAGAAGGTGTCTCTGATGAACCTGACCTTGTCCCTAGAAGTTTCCAGAGCAGAACCCAGAGATTACTGCTCACAGTAAGAAAAAGGAAACAAGAGAAAATTTAATAATTTTAGGACAAAACATAAAAGTGGCACCAAGTCCCCCTCAGATTCTAATTACTAGAAGCTATTTCATGCTACTTCTCTAATTACTGCATTAATCTGATCAAGATTCAGTGAGAAGGGGATCTTTTTTTTGTGAGTGTTAGATATGTAATAGTAAAGATATGTATTCACACCCACAATAGTTATGTGAATAATGAAACATAAATACATAAACATTAAGATCTAGACCAAACAATATTGCATTGCTTGAAAACTAATGTGATTATGAACTTCTTCAACCTAAAGCTCTCAATGAAAGTGAAATATTTTCCACTAATAATAAAAAGTTTTGTAATCAGGTTCATGCATTGGAAGCAGATTAGTTTTCATCTGAATTTGTGAGAAGTCTTCTCTGTTTTCCATGCTCTTTCTACTAATATATTTAATGTAACCTTACTCAAATGCCTGTTATCTCCTTGCATGATGTGAACCTATGCAGTTTCTGTATACCATGTCTGTGTTCTGATGTCATAATGAAAAAATAATACAGCTATAACAGAATGAATGCAATTTATTTCATCATCACAAACTCTGACCTGTAAGAAAAACAAGTGAAACAAATATTGGCTGCTAGAAGTAGAGCAAGCAAACCATTTATTACCTGAGATACTCAAATCCTGCTTCATTATATTATTCTCACTTGCCATAGGTCCTGTTTCTGTTGTGGTTGTTTCAGGTGATTCCTGCAATAGAGCCTTTTTGTTTCTGTTCACTCTGCTCTTAATATAGTGCACAAGCTAGAAAATCTCTAAAGCAATTTCTGTGTGCTTGCCCCACTTCTGAAAACATCACTCTTGAGTGCAATTATATTCTCAAGAATACCAAAAGCAAAACACCAATAATATGTATATTCATAAAAATTTTCTACCCAAATAAATTGCAGTTCATGTGCAAATTGAGTATGTCTCTCCACTCACTCCTCTCTGCTTATATTAACCTAGATTTGAAAAGTGATTAGAAGTGTGAGGAGAATATGGAATAATTGGGACATTCACTGACTGTAGCTACTAGCTTTTTCTTTGAGATAGAATCTAAGTAGGTTACACAGAACTGTGTCTAATACACACTAAATGAATGCAGCACATCCAATTTGTGTCCAGAATTTAATTCTGCAGTCCTCTTTGCAATCAGAAGTCTATTTTAATTCTGGCTGCTGGCTCCAAATCAGTCTTCTTCAAGACCCAGCATATCTTCTCACTGCTGTGCACTAGATATCTGATCTAAAGCATTCAAAACCCACATAATTCATGGTAGCAGCAGACTCAGCCCTTGGGCGCTGATATTATCACAGTTTTTTTCACTACCTTAAAATTTTATTCACTGCAGACAAGAAATGGAATCATTCTCTGCATGTACAGTATGTATGCATGTATATGTGTACTAAGCATGTCTGTACATTTGTAAGTTTATTTGCAAACTTGTTTCAAGGCATCACAGAACTGCATCTGAAGGTGAAGAAGGGTAAAATATAGCTCTTTGCTTGAGTTTGCATCAGTGCAACACCAATCCACCCTTTCAGAAAGATCCCTAAGTGTTGGGCAATTGCTCATGTGCCCAGAAGGCCCTTTTATTGGATCGCACAGAGTTCTGGTGTGCCTGCTTTCCCTCTTCATTGTTTATCCTTTCTAACTAATTCTACTTAGCAGAAGCAGAAACAATTTTTGATATGACTAATGGCACAGTATCCCTTTGTCAATGTCTGCACATCCTTGAGCAGACAAGAGAGAGAAAGCTGGGTCTACATTGTTTTTAAGACTGATAATAGGCTTTCCTTCTGAAGAGCTGTAAATGTCACAAGCCTAAGGCTGACATTGGATGCCTATTGTAGCTATAAGCAAGACTTCTTTGGGTTTCAGTGGAATGAGGCTGCCAGAACAGCACAGATTGCTGTGCCTGCCTTGACTTGCAGGAGGTGCTCCTGTGACTTCATGATGTGCTAAGAACAATGATGCACACCTTAAAATAAATGTTTCTCACATCTCTCAGAAAAAGTCCATCAAAATTTCAAGGGGAAGCCAAGGCAGATAGAAAGTTTCCACTGAACTGAGATTTGAGCATTATGGATACCAGTCATACAGTACTAGTGCAAAATGTTTTTTAAATTTACTTCGAGTGTAATACCAACATTTGCATGTTACCTTGGTCTGAAAAGCATTGAACAGAGTGTTTAAGAGCTGTATTTTTTCAGATCATTTTATCATTACAAGCAAATAAACCTAGTGAGTTCCCAGTACGTTTTACATCTTAACTACAAACAAATTATATGCAATAGAAAATCTAAAGGAAGGCTCAATTGCAGGCTTCCCCTTGATATGAGCTGGAAGATTTTTTTGGCTACTTCTTGGTGTTTTCACCAATTTAAAGGTTAAGTTCTACAGCCCCTGAAAAACTCGATTTCTCAAATTTTCGAACACTGAAAATGTGTTGATAACTATCCTTCACATAAAGCCAAAATATTTTTGAATGCACAATGAAGCATGCCTTCTCATTTTACTTTTTTTTTTTTTTTTTTTTTTTTTTCCCACAAACTGGAAGTAAAACAATGGCAGTGTAATTATTTATGGAATCATTCAGTAGTAGTAGTAGTTTTTAATCTTCAAGGATTTTTTAAATTAAATGCTGAATTTAAAAGGAGAGAAATGAAACACTAGGTTAAAACTGTATCACTTCTTAGGCAAATATTTCCTTACAGAATGGAAATTACTACCAGTATTCAAATGTAGTCTCCCAGCTGAGTTTACAGCATATTAACTACTCATCAGTTCTACTCTTGCAAGTATAAAACCCTAAAGGAATTCAGTTCAATGCCACAAAAATGTACTTCTTGCCAAATGTTCATAGGGAAACAGATAAAAGATTCTTTCTATTTTAAATGAGCAGCCTCACAAGAGAATCATTAAATCTTGTGTTTGGATTGATCTGTTTCACTGTGGCATAGCTTTTAGGCTTCATAACTGAAATATGTGACATAAATATCTTTCTTTCTAATAGAGAGTAGAGAAAATGTTGGGATGCTTTAAGCATAAAGGATCATAATGGAAGTACAGTGTGACTCTTCTGCGTCCCTCATGATGTGTACTGTTGCATCTGAGTTACTTTGTAAAAAAATTTTCACACTGCACACTTTTGTATCATTAATGTTCTCTTGTATTAAAGCTCCTTACAGATCAAAACTGGATAGAAGCAGGTCATTTTTCTGCTGAAACACAACCATCTCTCAGATTAAAGGCCAATCATTCAATAAACACAGTCAGTGAAAAATGGTGTAGAAGAACCACCACAAATGGAGAGCTGCAAGTAACACTGATTCCTTCTGAAAACGCCCAGATATTGTCCCCATTTGAATAGAATGAAGGAATAATTACATTTATCTTCTGTCTCTTCTCATTACAATGCTTTACAAAATATGTGGATTTAGAAGGTATAAGAAATTTAATCTGTCCGATGGAGTCCATGCACTACTGCATCTTATTTTCAGTTCCAGTAAAAAAAAAAAAAAAACACAGCAGAAGCTCTGGTCATGTTTCTAACATATGTTGTGATTGTTTACAGTGCTAACCATAATTAAAACAGAAAATCCCTTCAGCTTTCCATAGAGGACAGCAGGGAGAAGTTTTCACATAACATTGATATTTTATGGATATATTTTCCTTATCAGGAACAAAAGAATAATTAAAAAAAAAAACAAGTGAAAAAAGCTAGAAACAGATGGTGTGCAGGTCATTGAAGTGTATCAATTAGAGGATTTCAAAGCATTGTGATTACAGAAAGTTTAAAAATCTATAATGAACTTATATTTGAAATTGGTGATAGGAATTATGCTAGTATGTTATACAACTCCAGTACTAAAAAGCTCTGGAGTGAGAAGACTAAATAATTTAGGGAGCTGGCTATGGACCAGATCTTTCAAATCTCCTCCAGCATTCACTACAAAATCACGTTCCATGAAGCTGAAAGATTGCGATGTTATTGAGGACAGTGTTTATTATCTCCTCATATGTTAGGCATGGCTTCAAAAAAATTTCTTTACGAGGTGTGAGAATGCCAAAATGCTGTCATCTCTCTCTACTGGATCAGCCAAAAGAAGGAAGTTCTGTTTAATATTACAGCATATCTTGAACAGAACTAGAATGTCACTTCATTTACTTTGTCATTTCAACAGTTTTAATTGTAGTCTCTTTTGATCCAAGACATTTTTCTCCTTTTTTTTTTCCTATGATAAGATCATAAAGATCAGGTTTGATAATCCATTGCATCAGAACTAATATCGTTAGGTATTCACAGAATCACAGAATCACAGAATTGTAGGGGTTGGAAGGGACCTCCAGAGATCATCGAGTCCAACCCCCCTGCCAAAGCAGGTTCCCTACACCAGGTCACCAAGTATGCATCCAGACAGGTATTGAACATCTCCAGAGAAGGAGACTCCACCACCTCCCTGGGCAGCCTGTTCCAGTGGAAAATTCCTTAGGAAAAGTTTTAAAAAGATCACTATCACTCATAGCCACCCTTATGAGCAGATTCTTTTTCTAAAATTAAATGTAGGTAGATATGCTTCTTCCTTAGACACCAGGTTTCTAAAAGTATGTTCCATCAAAACATAAGTTATGTAAGCAATCCTGCAAACACACGAGTGTTTGTTCCCTGAAAATGATCTTAGGTACTTAAGGAATGAAAGAACAGGCTTTACCTATGTGGGGAGTGTAGTAAGAGAACAAGTCAAATTGTCTGTAAGGTGTTTTGAGAAGATGAGAACAGCTTACCTGGGGTATTATGTGGAATTCCAGGAGTTACACCACCAAAATGCTTCTAGCAGGACATGATCGGTTTGTTGCAATATATTTTCTATACTGAAGCCTATCAGATAGATTATAAAAATGTTATCTTCTTCTGATGCTACCTGTACTTAAATCTGAAGCACAGTTTTGTTAAGGTGAGAGTGTGTTAATGTTGCAGGAAGCCATAATTGCAGAGTTTCAGTCTGGTAGACTGGGGAATGTTAGGCATGAAGGTCTCATAATCTATGACAGAGGCTACTAAATACTGTTTCCCAAATCAGTGTTTGAGAATCTCCTGTATTCTAGATTTGACTCCTTGTCACAAGCTATCTCTTTTCCCCTGAGCATATTCTTAGAAATGTGTGATTTCCAGCGGTGTTTAATAATACTGTATGTGTAGCAAACAGAAATTTCTTTACACTGCAGCTAAATCAGCACATCACTGTATGTCTCGGTTATTTTGCTCACAGTGTTCTGTGAAATTATCTCTTTTACATGCACTGGATTTGGTGTCCATATCCCAACTACATATATTTTATTAGGCTGATGCAGAATCAAAGAATCATAGAATCACAGAGTCATGGAATCACAATAGGGGTTGAAGATGTCCAGATCTGGAGATCACCTTTGCCAACCCTCCCTGCAAAAACAGGTTCCCTACAGCAGGTCACACAGGAAAATGACCAGATGTGTTTCAAAATCACAGAATCACAGAATTGTAGGGGTTGGAAGAGACCTCTAGAGATCATCGAGACCAACCCCCCTGCCAAAGCAGGTTCCCTACAGCAGGTCGCACAGGTAGGCATCCAGGTGAGACTTGAATATCTCCAGAGAAGGAGACTCCACAACCCCCCTGGGCAGCCTGCTCCAGTACTCTGTCACCCTTGCAATAAACAAGTTCTTTCTCATGTTCAAATGCAACTTTCTGTGCTCCTGTTTGTGCCCATTGACACTTGTCCTGTCGCTGGGCACCACTGAACAAAGCCTGGCCCCATCCTCTTGACTCCTTCCCTTTAGAAGTTTATAAGCATTGATAAGATTCATACACTTCACATCATTTCTTTTCAGTCCCTTCACTTCATATTTTCAGGTAATTTGTTCCTCTGATTACTCTTTTTTTTTCTTCTTCAGTTCAATGGTAGGATAATCAAACAATACTGAACCATTTCTACAATGCTCCTATCTGCACCATTTTGTTAAGATCAGCAATCTCCATTAAAGTGAGTTTCAGTTGCCCTTTTTAAAAAAACCCTTAAAAAAACAGAAGGACTTCAGAATTTTCATACATGTAACCTACTAATCTGCAACTCCAAATACATTAGATTGAGGAGACCTAACTTAAGGAATGATCTTCAGAGAGTCAGCCTTTCCAAGTTGATTCACTTTAACATGAAGAGAATCTACATCTCTGCCTGTGCTCTGACATCTTGTTTTGTGTTCCTATATATGCTTGTAACATCCCTTATGGCATACTGAAGATCAAGTTATTTTCCTTATGACCCCACATATAAAATTCCCTGCTACCAGCTCTCACTGCTATCCGCCAAGACTGTTGTTGTATCTACTTAAATTATCATATGTTCCCTTTTTGTAAAGGAAGTAGGTCACACTGCAGGGGGAAGGAATGCTCACACAGAGCTGTAAATGCATTATTACTGTCTCTACACTATCCCAGGGAGTAATGCATTTGTGGCCATACTGCTCCTCAATGAAAAGTGGAAGTATTTGTATAGACTATTCTTCATTCAAGAGGAGTCTGTAATAGAGCAAGAGACAGTGGGAAGAGCCAGGTGTAGAGAGAACAGTAATCCACAACTTGGTCTAAAAACCCTTATTAATTCATTTTAATTTATACAGATTAACATATATCTTTCCTGCTTCTCTGTGGAGTGGAAATCCTCCTCAGCAGGTACAGTTAGTGTCAAATTCAGAGTGAAGAACATACGCACCATCTGCCAGGGTCCCTGTATTCTCTTGTGCAACAATACACTTCTTCCCTCTTCCCACTTCCTTTCCCATTTCAGTTCCTGTTCATTGTCTCACATTTTCAGTAGACAGAAAAAGATAGATTAAATTGTATTTCAAATTCAACTGTATAAAATATTTCCTGCATTCTCATTATCACTCCTTTGCTCCAGAAAGGTACAAGTGACCCTTACTAACAGCATGAATTAAAGAAGAGTTTGGTTGTTCTCCCAGAGCAGTTACTACAAGTCAATACTTCTACATAGTGTGATATGTCTAGTAGTTCTTTTCAGCTGCTGCAGAACTAAATCTTTGTTTAACTTCTATCAAAAAATACGAGGCACGAAGATTTCCTGGTTTTCTTTCCACCAGATGATCAACATGGACTTATCCTCTACAACATTCTAACTCTACTAATTAGAAACAATAAATTTTCAAAACTGTTTTTAGTTGAGAAAACTGCCTAGTGTAGGAGCTTTCATATATGAAAGGATAATGTTCTGATTAGACCCCACTAATTTGTAAGAGAGTAAGTACTAAAATGTTTCACCAAGAGTCAGTGGTGCTGAGGAATAGACTTTCCAATATCAAGGGTAGTGGTTCAAGTTCTAATATTCCAGATGATATTGTTTCTTTCTGCTGTTGGGCCTTTATTTTTGCAAGCAAGAACTTTAGCACTGAGAAGGAAACTAGAAGTGGTTGTTCTTTAAAATTCTGGAAGATCGGAATACACAAAAACAAAATGAATTCTATGAGTGGATTCAGGAACAGAGTAGCTTTTTGTGTATTTTTTTTAGCTAGTCCTGTGTAGCATCAAAAACGTTGACAACAGTAATGCTCCCAGTTTCACAGAATGAACTGTGAGTTTATTTCTGCTAATTCACTGAGGGGAAGAGGCCTACAGTTTGCCAAGAGGTGCTAGTCTCCCTCAAATCTAGACTGTCAATGTGTTTTTCTTGTTTTTGTTAGGAAATCCTACAGAGCTGATCACTTGAATGACCTGTCATTCATTGTGTGGGAACTGAAAGAAAAACTTTGGAGATGAGATACCCCTACATGACCTATGTGTTTTTCTCTAGGAAGGTGTTTTTCAATTTGACTATGACACTTTCAGCAATTCCTATCTTTCAAACCCAAACAACGAAAACAACTTGTGATGCTTATCTACCTTATCTAACTTATCTAACTCCTATTTGTTTCACCCTTAACTGAAGTTAAAAGGTTTCCTGATATATCTGATTCAGTTGCCTTTTTCTTTTTTTTTTTAATTTCAGACTTATTAATGAATCTTTGCGGGACCAGTTGCTAGTTACCATCCAGAAGACTTTCACATACACTCGAACCCAGGCACAGCACCTCTTCATTATCCTCATGGAGTGCATGAAGAAGAAGGAGCTGGTACGTTTACACATTACAAAGGGACAAAGATAGAGTTCAATGCATTGGTTTGACTGAGCTTTTCAGATGCCTGTTGAAGAATTTCTTCAATCTGTTGATGCCTAAAGGATATTATTCTATATTACTCTGATTTTTGTTTGCTTTAATCTACTTCCTGGTTGAAGTGATAAATCCAAATCTTCTCACTTTGTAAATTCCCTTACATTTACTTTGACAGGGCAAAATATGGCATATGACCAATAATAGCGTAGGGATATTTTTACTTCTCAGTCATTCTTAGGGACATTGTGACTAAAATTTGACCCTTCTCAACTACAGAAAACGTAATAAAGCATGATTATTTACATATCATTGGGACCATATTCTAAGGGTACTGTAGAGTTACTGTAGAATTTCTGTGGGGCTACTTTTATATTATGGAGACAACAGTAAAAGAGAACAGCTTGTATCCACAGTTCTCATTCTGCAGAGGCAAGAGTGTCCATTTACACATATCTATACTTGCTTGCAGAAGATAAGATCTCTCAACAATTTCCAGGACCTCCGTGAAGATACTGTTGTAGCAGCAAAAGCAAAACCACATTTTAAAGTTATTGGGATTAAATTCCAGTACTTTTATTAGTAGTAGTAAAACAAACTATCTGAAAAGTCATCCTTCCTTTTTGTAATTTAATCCTTTTGAGATTTGTTTTCAGTTTGTATTGCAGCTTCCTGGAATTCCAGGCTGATGATAGCTTGCAACTTGTTCTGTAGGGTAACAAGAGGATGTGAGGATTTTTTACAGAAGTTTGGTATTCTGAAACCATTTGAGTTTTTTGTGCTTTCATCTTCAACAGTGCCTTTTAGTTTCAGTTGAAATTGAATGGTTGGAATAAGGGAGAAGGGAGGGTAAAAGGGAAAGAGAAAGGAAGACAGGAAGGAGAGAAAGTGAGGAGAAGAATGCAGCTCTGGATTGCTCCAGACATCTAAACAAGAACATGTTGGACTTTGAACAACTTTTACTCCTGCAAAGTTGAATGTGAAATTTTAATCTGTAGCATTCATGCCAATAATTTTGCCCTGTGCAAGTGTGTGTCTTTGTTACAAGTTCATCTGTAGATATGTAACCTATCTCACTATGGATATTCTTTACCCATATGTCACTGAAGAGCTATCAGCCAGGGGATGACGTGTCCCTAAGTGCTTTGAACTTTCATTTCTTAACACAAACCCAGCCATATTTAAAAGAACACATAAAAACAGTGTTCCTCTTTGGTATGTTGGTTTTACTGACAATGTTATTTTTAACAGCATTGTGCTAGAACAATTTTATGTTTGAATTGTGATTGCTGGAGGTTGCTGTCTCTTGTGAGAACTCAGGATCATGGCTGTGAAACTGATAATTTCCCTAAGTTCATGTGTTTCTGTGTGCCTGACTGCCGGACTGTGGGGCTGCTGAAATCATAGGCATCATAGAAGGCCCTGTGAGAGCAACTGCTGATATTGCAGCATGCAGATAAGGTATTATAGAATGCATCAAAACAGATAAGTGCAAACAGATATAGGCAGGAAAATGGTCTTACAGTACAGTACATAAAGACAGATAAATTGCAAATGTGGAGAGAAAATGTGAAAAGAGAAAAAAAAAACCATAATATAGTCTGAAAAGGGACACAGAACTGTCTTGGAAAACAAAATTTCCTACTTTACCTACTTAGATTGTACAAAAAGAAAGCAATCTCTTTTTTAAATCTGACAGAAGTGTAGTAGCCAGAGGAAAAAATTTAATCACAAGAAAAACTGCATGCTTTAGAGGAAATCAGACTTTTCAAGTTCTAACATTTTGGACTTCACTCTTAAAGAATCAACTGTATGCCCAGGGAGCATCATTATTAGATGTCTAATATTTCATTTATTTTCTGAAGAGTAAGTTTGTTTGATGAAAAAATGTGAGTACATAAGATATGTGATGAGACCACAGAGGATGAGAGATCAAAGTTGCCTGGATTTGCAACACAGAAATTTCCACTAGCCTATTTAATGAGTAGTTTTGATTAGATTGTAAACTTAGCTGTCTTTGTGCTGTGTGCATCTGAGTTTGTATTCAGAAGCATATTTGGACAACGTGCTTAAGAAGATATATAGTATAAAAATCTACTTTAAGTAAAGTAGACTGTGTGTAAGTGTAGGTTACAAAGACAGGAAAATGGCCTGCATATACTTCTCTGCTGTTACTCTTAGAGTTATTAAAAATATTTACCCAGAGAAGTCCCTAAAGTACGAGCAGGAATGCTTACTAAACCTAGGGTGGGCAGGAAACAGTGTTTTAAAGTCCAACCAACAAGTTTTTTCAATAAGTACTGTGAGCCTACTGCTGCAGCTCACGAGAAGCTAAAACAGCCCATTATTCCAAAGGCACTATGAAATTAGATTCCATATTTATTAAAATAAGAAAGAGAAAAGGAGAGACAGTCTTCAAGAGTGTGTTTTTGTTCTCTAGTTCTATTGTGAAGTTACCCCTCTCAATAAAAAGAGCAGGTGAGTGTGCAGCCTGAGGACTCTGCTGTGCCTCAGCAGCTGGGGAGGCAATCCCTCAAAGAGCAGAGTAGTAAAAAATCTGCTTCCCCTGATAGGCTCTGTAAATACGTTGGGCTGTTGTTCTTTTTCCAGCTGTGCAAGTGAGAATCTATTTGTCTCTCAATAAATAAATTAGCTTTACTGATTTATTTATTTAGTAAATTTAGTAATTTATTTAGTAAGCTTTACTGCCCTTGAAAACAGTAATTGTGGCTTCTGAGTTATCTGACAAAGACATGCTGCTCCACTCTTTTAAGAGCATTGAATCATTCTGATCTTAGATTGGCATATTGCTGGAGTGCTGTGTTCCCAAGTCACGATGTGTATTTCTCAAAAGTCAGCATGTACTCTCCATTGAGCAGATTGGGTCCATCTGGAGAACAGAGAGAATAGAAAGAGGGAAGCTTGTTTGGGCAGGCTTTGGGGACAAAACACTTTGGCAAGCTGGAAAGGTACATCTTACTGAAAACAAACACACTTGTTGCATTTATATAGATTTTTCATAAGAATAATGGTTCCTGAATAGTGACAGTTAACAGATAAGTCCAGTCTTTATGCCTTAGTAATCAAAAAACACCACATTAATTGTGTGCTACATGCTGATTAAGTTTGATTTCTTACTGCTAACATGACAATTGTCTGCTAAACATATTTTCCTAAGTATTTAAGGTTCACTGTCTACATTAACTGAACTAACAGTGTCTTGTCTATAGAAATATTACAACAAGGGTTTGCAGAAGGAATGTATTGACAGTGGACATAGGTTTGCATGCACCTGTGAATTCCTGGAACTTGTTTATGCATTGAGCCCACAGGCACAATTTGACATAGATTGCTCTGAAAGCCTTTTATTTATCTCCATGGAAACTACAACAGTTACTGTGAGCACAATAACACTCTCCGATATAACAAATTCTCAGCTACAAAACACATTTTTTCCAAAATAGCCCCCACCATTTGCTCTGCATTTTCACCAGTGTTGTACAACAGCCTGCATGTCACACTTGTAAAAATCTGCACCAGTGGAGGTGCCCCTCTCTGATGCCAGCTGTCATCACTGCTGAAAAGCACCACCCACAGTCTCACAGTGCTCACATCCACTGTTTGGTCTCCATTAAACATTCTGCAAGCACTGGTAAACGTCAATGGGTGCCATTTTTTCTGTATGGAGGAATTTAATTCCACACCTTTGCTTCATACACACTTCCATGTCAGAAACCATTCTGTCAGAGTGCCCCTCTTCTGCCATCTGTCATACAGCAATAACATGTAGTGGAATACTGATGGGAAGGTCCAGCCTCTACTGCTATACCACTAGTGTCAACCTCTGACATGGTGGGCTAACATAATAAATAGGATACATTACTTTCTGTGTAGATCTTGTAGTTTCTTGCTAAAAAAGAAACAAGAAAATCCCATCTCTGTTTCTGGTCAGCAAGTTATGGGTATTTTTCCTTGTTTCTTCTGTGGTCTACTATTTTTATGCTTTGGTGCACTGTGATGAACATGACAGCTATTTCCACAGATGGAACCAAATCTCCAAAGTCCAAAGGTGCAGTTTATGAGCAACCAGTGCTGAAAGGCTAACGTTCTTACCCCAGTATTAGCTTACTAGTCAGGGCTTTAATTGAGTTTACTCTTACTTACTCAAAGTACTGAGAAGCTAATGAGAGATTTAGTAATTCCTTTTCTAGACTTATTCATCAGAATAAGTCTAGTTCAGAAACTAGAAGGGTTTCTATTTTATCTGGCTGAAAAGCCTGGAGCAAACCTGTCCATGTTTATGGAAGATTCTGGAGAAATCTTACCCCGGTCATGTTATAAATTGAAATTATAAAAATAATCTAGTGCGTTCTAATTTCTGCGCTAAGAATTTTGAAAACAGTTGCTCACTTTGAAGAAAAAAGATATTTTGTATAATAATGATGATCTTGAAGGTCTTTTCCAACCTAAATGATTCACAATTCTCTATACTGGCTACAAAACGCAGTGTGCTTTTGTGCTTTTGATCAGGATGTGCAGGTTAGAGAATTAGTAAGATCCTAGACAAGCATTCTATGTAAGTGTTTAGCATATATATGAATATGTTCTGAATTAAATATCCGCTAAATCAAATGGACTTTTAAAAAGTTACTGGCGTATTTCCACATTATTTTTTTAGTCCTTGACAGTTGGGGTGTTCATTCTAGCTCATTTTTTAAAGAAATCAAGTTTCATAAACAAATTATTTTGGCTAAGATTTTGTCATGCTGATGAAGTCTTTTTTTTTACAAGAGGTAGAAAAGGGAGAGGTGGCTTGTCAAACAGTAAAAATCATTATTCCTGCAAGCATATAATTGCTGTGAACAGCATGTAATTTGGCAGTAAGTACCTGGAGCAGCAGAGCATCAAGAAGCTGATAGTCTGCAGGTTGCTGGAACAACTCTCACCCATGGAACATTATG